TTCCCCCCCCCCCCCCCCCCCCCCCCCCTCCCTCGCCCTGCGCAGCCGCAAGGGCCGCTGAGGATGACCCCGTCCCGGAGGAGGAGGAGGCTGGGCGCACCTGGGCCTCAGTGGCCGACCTGGTGTCCAGCCGCAACCTGACCAGTGTCCTTGAGGCGGCGCTGGAGGCTGCGGGCCAGCTGGAGCAGCTCAGCGGTGAGGCTGCCAGCAACAGGCGCTGGGAATGGCGTGGCTCCTCAGGGAGGAGCGAACGGGGCTGGCTCCGGCCTGCATGGCGCTCCCACGCCGATGCCAGGACAGCATGCGACGGCAACGCTCTGCCCCGCCTGCTCCCCGCCACCCCTGCCGCCCGCCGCAGACCCATCCCTCGTCGCGACTGTACTTGCGCCCACCGACGAGGCATTTGCTGCGGCGCTCGAGTCTCTCGGCATGAGCGTCGAGGAGCTTCTGGCGGACACGGTGCGGCCCTACGCGCTGGCACAGGCGACATGAGCGCGCTGCCGCTGGCATGTAGCAGGCGCCTTTGTCGCGCCATTTTGTCACCGGTGCCTTGTCACCCTGGGCTCTCTGCTGTGCAGGAGCTGCTTGCCCAGGTGTTGCCCTATCACGTGATTCCCGGGCAGGCTCTCACCGCTGGCGACCTGGAGGACGGCGAGATCCTGCAGACCCAGCTGGGGGGGCAGGCGGGCGAGCTCAAGGTGGGTGGCGGGCAGCCTGCAGCCTGCCGGACATCGCAAGGGGAGCAGGGAGGCAGCGCATGCGTGTGCAGCATGCCTGCCCAGCGCTCTCGCCCATGGCGCCGCCGGCTGCCTGGCGCAGGTCAAGGCAGGCAGGACGCGGCCGCGCCTGGAGACCACATCGGGGCAGACAGCCAGCATCAAGAACGCAGACCTGGTGGCCGGCAGCGCGCTGGTGCACACCGTGAACAAGGCACGCCGTGCTGTGCCGTGCTGTGCCTTGCTGCGCTGCTACCGGCCTGCTGGACCTTGTTGCGAGGCTCGCTGACAGCGCCGGCTGGCCTGCTGCCCAACCACACGGATTGCAGGTGCTGATCCCCGGCAGTGACGTTTTTGAGAGCAGCGGCGTGGGCGCCCCCTCGCCCGCTCCAGCCGAGGCGCCCGCCGCGCCGCCCTTGCCGCCGCCGCCCAGCCCGCCCGCGCTGTGCACCCACACCCTGGCAGCTGGCGAGTTCCTGTCGAGCCTGGCAGATGTGAGCTGGCTGCCGCCTGCTGGCTGCTTACGTGCCATGTCCTGGCCTGCTTTTCAGGCATGGCTGCGCCGTGGTCCTGCTCACCACCTTCCGAGGCATGGTGCCACCCGAGCGGGGCGGGGTGGCCAGCTGTCCGAGCGGCCTGGCTGGCAGCCAGCGCGCATGCTGTGTGGCACGCCTCCTGCTGAGCACCCCTCCTGCTCCTTGCCCCGGCCTGCAGACATACGGCATCAGCCCTGACGAGCTGCTGGCCCTCAACCCCCAGATCTCCAACCCGGACTCCCTGGCCCTGGGTGCGCAGCAGCTCCCAGCGCCCCATGCAAATAGATATGTGGCTGCGCTCCCCTGTGTGCGCTGTGCCTGCTGGCTCACCTGCTGTCAACTTACATGGGTGCCAGCTGGCGCCAGCACAGCCCCATGCTGAGCAGCCGAGCCATGCCGCTGCCCGCCCCTGCAGGCGCCGTGCTGAACGTGCCGTGCTTGGAGGCATGATCGATCGAGGTCACGCAGTCAGCAAACGGCAGCCCTTTCAGTTGTGCCATGTGCGCACCGCAGGCAGCCGTTGACTGCCATCCCATTTGTACCAGGCAGGCCGTCAGTAGCGTCTAATCAGCCCGGCAGCAATGTACATGCATGTGATGAACCTCATCCCTCCTGATTCTTGGATATGAATCCGAAGAACCTCATGTTTGTTTTCGGTTGGCGGGGTTCAATCAATTCTAATGTGCGCCGCTTGCTTTTTGTTTTGCTCAGCACTCCCAGCCATTCGTGATCGTATCCACTTGTACATCTTTAGAACACTTGTTTTAGGTAAACAGACAGCCTGAGCAGAATTCCGGCATCCTGCTGTGCCCGGCGAGCCTGCTGAGCCACCTGCTCAGCATCAACGCACAAACAACAGCTTGCCAAACCACTCAGCGCTCGAGTTTGCAGCGCCACCGGAACCCACCGTCTTTGAGCAACTGCCGTGTGTTCGAGCCGCCCAGCCTGCGACAGCTGGGCCCGACTGCCCCAGAACGGGAACGCCCCGTTCTGCAGCCTGTCGCTCAATGCGTGGCCCAGGGACCGAGGCGCTGGACACCAGCTACCAGGCGGGCCCCGGTGGAGGCAGCCCGGGCCGCCGCTCGGCCTCCTCCTCCTGGCGCTACACCAGCGTGGGCGACTCAGCTGACAGCGATACCTACTCCGGCCTACTGGCCTCGGTGGCAGCACAGGAGGGCGGGCTAGTGGCTGCCGTGACTGGGGCAACAGCGGCCAACGGAGGGGTGGCAGACGCGGCTATCCCGCCTACGGGCGGCGCTGCCGCCGGCGGGCCAGGCGACCCCGCCAGCCGGCAGCTGTGGAGTCCCAACAAGCGGCCTCAGCTGCAGGCGCAGCCGCTATACGACACGGCTGGCGCAGTAAGTGGCGGCGGCGGCGTGCCGGCAGGCATGGATGCGGCGTCGTACGCGGCGGGGGAGCGGGCCGCGCTGATGTGCGCTTTCCAGCAGGCCCTGCCCGGTCAGCAGGCCCTGGGGCAGTGCTTCTCAGGTGGGCGCGCAGGGTGCACATGTGGTGAACTGGGTGCAACCAGCATTGCGGCCAGCCTGTTCTCCTGTAGCTTGCTCTCCTGCGCGTCACATCACATTCCCCCTGCCGGCTGGCGACCGCTTGTCTCCCCAGCCCACTAGCCATCCCGCCCCGCCCCCGCCCCGCAGCCGTGGATGCGCTGCACTCACGCCTGGAGGAGGAGGCGGCGCACTGGCGCCAGCTGCAGCTAGGCGCCACCAAGACGGAGGGGCTGGTGGAGGTGTGCGTGGGGTGTGTGTGGGGAGGGGGGGGCATGATTGGCACCGCAGGATTGGCACCGCTTGCCGGCGATGAAGCAGCCAGCCAGTGTTGCCGCACGGTGCCCGTGCGCCCAGCATGGCAGGGCTGGTGGTGAGCGCTGGCGGGCCGCCCTTTGCCGACCGCCGACAGGCGCTTGCCACATGCCCACCTTTGGCCCGCCGCCCTGCGCGCCGGCTGCCTCCTCCTGCGTGCAGACGGCGCTGCAGCGGCTGGACACGCTGGAGTTCATGCGCCTGCCGCAGCTGCAGGAGCGTGCCGAGGAGGCGGCCCGCAGGTGGGCAGGCGGTGTGTGGGGGGTGGTGCGCTGCGGTGCGGTTTTGAGTTAGCACCCACACGGCAGGGAAGGGCAGGCGGGTGCAGCCAGTTATTGGTGCCCTGTGGCCTGCTGCCTGGCAGGGTTGGCAAGGCCGTGGCTGACGCTGCTCCCTGTGATGCTGCGACCCCTGCTGTGGCACCTGCAGGCCCCCCGAGCAGCTGCTGGAGCTGCTGGGCGGCCTGCAGCAGGCTGTGGCCCTGCTGGCGCAGCAGCGGGAGCTCATGGCGGAGCAGCAGCAGCGCGTGGCGGCGGCGCCGCGCCCCCGCGCCGGCACCCTGCACTGGCTGCTGCTGGCGGCGGCGGGGTATGGGCAGAGCCTGCTGTCCAGGGCTGACGTGGCGGCGCTCTTCCTGTCACGCAAGATACTGCTGACGGGCGTGGGCAGCGAGGAGGGCGGCGCGGTGAGCAGGGCGGGTGGCTGGGGGGGGTGGGAGCCCTGCTGGGCTGGGACTCAGTCCAGTGCATGCATCTATCCAGACTATGTGCTGCCGTGAGACACCCGGCACCCCTCACACACCAGCTGGCTTGGATGCATGACGCTCTCCCCTGTGCAGGCAGGTGCCACCGGCGCCAACCGCCAGCTCAGCAGCGCGCTTAGCGTGCTGCTGTTTGTGGGCAGCGTGGAGGCTGCCTGGCAGGCGCACGCCCGCCTGCTGCGCCCGCTGCCTGCTGCGGCGCAACGGGCCGCGGCGCCGCTGCAGCTGGGCCTGCGAGTGGCTCGGGTGGCGGTGTGGAGCGCGGCGCTGGTGCTGGCGGCGGCGCACACGCGTGCCTCCTGCCACGCCGCAGGCGACAGCGTGTGCTCTGCGCTGGAGGCGGCGGCAGAAGCTGTCAAGGTGCCACAGTGGGCGCAGGCGCTGCCGGCCTGGCGCTGGCTGCAGCACCGGTGGCAGCAAACGGCAGCTGCGCCCGCCAGCCCCGGCTCGGCTGCGGGTGCTGAGGACGGTGAGGATGGCAGCTGCGCCACGGCTGCAGCCGCAGCGGGGGATCGTAGCGTCTGCGCCGCCGCCGAGTGTGATGCCGGGCCGGCGGCTGGTGCCACTCCACCGGCTGGCGGCGGCCTTCCCGCTCAGAGCTGGTGACTGGGTATGCATCCCCCTTGGCACACGAATTGCTGCATTGCATTCTCTTGGACATCCTGACTGTAGTGAGCTCTCTCTTCAATAAAACACACATGGCGCGCAGAACGGTGCCAGGGCGGCAATACGGCCAATGACAAACCGCAGCTGGGCAGCAGAGGCATGATACGTGCGGTCCAGGCACCCGCGGCGCTCTGCCTGCCGCCCCGCCGGCACGTCACCTGGGCGCCCGCCACCCCGCCGCCTCCGCCTCCGCCTCGCTGCAGAACCAGCGCTCGCCCTGGCTCTCGTCGATCACCACGCTGTCGTATGTGGGGCTGCCCGGGACGTGGAAGATCTTCTCCCCGGTGGACCTCGAGATGTTGCCCTTGATGTAGCAGCCGCCGCCGCCGCCGGCCTCTCCTCCGCTGCCGTCGCCGGCGCCAGAGGCATCCTGCTCGCCCCCTGCTGCACCCTGCTCCGCTGGGGGCTGCGGGTCCTCGGCCTCGGCAGCGTCTTCGGCGGCAGCAGAGGAGGAGGAGGGGGGGCCGTTGCGGCGGAAGTCTTCGGGCTCCTGCACACGCCGGGCAGGGCCACTCAGCTGCTCTGGCCGGGGAGCATGCAGGCATGGCACGGGCGAGACGCCTCGCCCGTGCTGCTTGCAAGTAATCATACTCATCCGTTCAAAAAAATTGTGTTTCGGAATGTGCGGCAGCGCAGTGGGCAGAACCCACCTGGAACTCGCCGGCCCACATGCCACGCTGAGCCTGCCGTGCCGCCTCCTCGGCCGCCACGTAGTCATCGGTGTACCGCCTGCAGTACGTGGCAGCGTACCGCGTACCGCCAGTGAAGGGCAGGGGGTACGGAGCTCGATGCCCCCGGCTGCCCACCGTCTGCCTCGCTGCCAAGTGGCAGCTCGTTGCCGAGCGCCAGCTCTGCATCCTGCCTGGAGCAGGCTGCGGCAGCCCATTGGGCCCCAGGCCAGCCTCCGCAGCACACCGCAAGCCGCGACCACGAGCTGCCACCACGCCGCAGGCCGCCGCAAGCTTGCCTGTAGGCAACTGCCAGCCCTTGCTCCACCATCCAGCCGTTCAGGTCGAGGCTGGTGCCATCGGGCAGCGGCAGATAGCAGACCGCCACCATCCGGTCAAACTGGTCGGTGTCCTTCTGCAGATGGTGGGGCGTTTGTGGTGGAGGTGGTGGCGATCAGCAAAGGTGGGCAGTGGCCAGCGAGGGAGGGGCATGATCGGCGGCGGGCGGGGTGGTGGCAGGCAGGGCACACAGGCAGGCAGGCAGGCAGGGCAAACCAGGCAGGGCAGGCAGGGGCAACCCACCTCCTCGCACCGCACTTCCGAGCCGCCGATCTTGGCGATGAGCGCGTCCCGGGACACCTCGCCTGCAGGCAGTGGCCGGTACCGGGCAAACACGCCTGCTCAGTTCACGCTCATGCCGGTGGTAGGCGGGCGGTGGGCACTGTGGCAGGCGCGCAGCAGCAGCGCCCACACGCCGCCAGCTCGTGCAGGCTGGGGTGCAGCGGCATGCCCGGCTGGCGGGCTGGGCCTGGCTGGCGGCCGCCGCCGCAGTGACGCGGGCAAAGGATGTGCTGCGAGCTGGGTGTTGCTGAAACCAGACAGTAAGGGTGCACCGCAGGGGTAGGGTGCGCCCGCCGCATCCAAGCACTCCTGTGCCAGCTCTGGAGCGTCAATGCCGAACAGCCGCACCCGCGTGTCGCCCACAACCAGGCTGTCGCCATCAGAGATGCGGGTGGGCACGCCAGACACGTAGCTGGCAGGCGCGGAGGTGGCAGGCGCCTGCTGGGGGGCGCACGAAGCGGCGGCGAAGTAGGCAGGAGTACCACCGAGGACGGTAGGCGGCACATGTCAGGCGGCGCGCGCTCCAGCAGAGGCTTGTGTGTGCTGCCTGTCTGAGCAGGTGACATCCACTGCGCAAGCGACCTTGGCTGCTAAAGCCCCCCGGCTCCCACCTTTGTGCCGCCGCTGGCGGTTGCGTTCTGGCCGCCGCCCAGCGCCGCCGCCAACAAGACTAGCAAGTTCGCCAGCGCCGGGAGCTGCGGTCCGCCGTCAGGCATGGCGTCCTGATTCGACCGCGGAGTGCCAGCGCGCAGCTTCACGCCAAGCCAGCCAGGACGTCGCACCGGGTGGTGTCGGGCAGCGCGGGTGTGGTGCCTGTGCGCCTGCAAGCGTCCCTCCGCTGCTAAGGACGGGGAAATGGACATGATCCGCTTGCAAGCCAGGCCTAGCATGCTTCTCCATGCCCCGCCCGCCCGCTGCCCGCGCTGGGCGGTGAGCACAGTCGGCAGCTGGCAGGGACTGGCGACCTCAGGATTACGTGGGTGACGACAACCATAGGCGACGTAGCAAGCATGTTTCAGGAGTGGGTTCGGCGTTGGCTCGTCAGCAGGTGCCGCCGCCGCTCGCGCCGCTGCCCGCTTCTCCCGAGTCTCCCGCGTCTGCCGCCGCCGCCGCGCCGCCCGGCAGCCTCCGGAAGTAGGATAGAAACTCCGTGTTGCCGGCGGCTGCGCCCTTGATGGGCGACTCCTTCCAGCCCTGGCAGGCGAAGCCGGCTGCCTCGTAGGTGGCCACCACCCTGTCGATGACCTGGCGATGTACCGCAGGGTCCCGCACCACGCCGCCAGAGCTGACCTGCGAGGCGAGGGAGGTGCAGTGGTTGGCGCAGCTGGCACCCCAGGGTGCCACGCCAGGGCGACGGCAGCAAGGCATGCACATCGGCGCTGCGGGCAAGGGGTGGGGGGCTGGCCGGCTGCGGCACGCTGCCCTCGCGCCACAGCACCCCACCTGCTCCTTGCCCGCCTCAAACTGCGGCTTGATGAGCACCACCAGCTCGCCGTCGGGCCGCAACACGTCACACACCTGCAGGGGGCAGCGGGGCGGGAGGTCAGGACGAGGGGGACAGAAGGCAGGGAGGGAGGGAGGTGGTCGAGGCGCGACGGGAGCGCGCCGCTGTGTCCCGCTGTCCTGCCCCACCATCGCCCACCGAACCGCGCCGCAGCCACACCGCACCGCAGCCACACTGCCGTACCGCACCGTACCACACGGTACCGCACCGTGTCCAGCACTTTGGCCACGGAGATGAAGGAGAGGTCGAGGGTGACCAGGTCCACGGCGGCGCCGCCGATGTCGGGCAGCCTCAGCGCACGCAGGTTGGTGCGCTCCATCACCCGCACACGCGGGTCGGTGCGCACACGCTCCGCCACCTGGTGGAGGGGTGGGCGCGGCGAGCGGCAGGGCCAAAGGCGTGCAGGGGCGCAGCGTCGTCAGGAGGCGCAGGGCCGGAGTTGGCGGGGGGCAGCGAGGCAATAGGCAGCCGACGGGGCGGCGGCGTGGGCCGAGCCACGTCAGCAGCACTCGCCAGCCAGTCAGCCAAGCAAGCAGGCCCACCTCCCGCTCCCGAAGGTTCTCCCACCCCGTCATCCCACCCCACCCCACTCCACCCCACCCCACCCCACCCCACCCCAGCCGCACCTGGCCGTACCCCACGTCCACCCCCACCACCGCCGCGGCGCCGTGCTGCAGCAGGCAGTCGGTGAAGCCTCCGGTGGACAGGCCTGAGTCCAGCGCCCGCTTGCCCTCCACCGCGATGCCCCAGTGCTGCAGCGCCGCCTCCAGCTTGAGCCCCGCCCGGCACACGTACTTGGGCTGCTCGGCGGTGATGACGACTGTGGCGGATTCGGGGACCTGGGTGCCTGCCTTGAGCACAGGGCGGTCGTTGACCAGCACCTTGCCTGCGGGCAGGGGAGGGAGGGAGGCAGGCTGGTGACGAGGCGGCTGGCGCCAGTGCGGGGGTGGCTACGGAGCGAGCTTGCAGCGCCGGCCCTGCAGCAGCCCTGCAGCAGCCTGACAGCGGGAGCTAGGCGGCGGCGGGCAGTGCCTGCAGCCGAGGCGCGGACTGAGTTGGCAAACAAAGAAGTAGCACAAACGAGAGCGCGCGCTCACCCTGCGCAATCCACGACTGAATGACGTTGCGGCTGTGCTCTGGGTGCCGCTCCAGGCACACCTCGTCCAGCCGCCGCTTGCGTTTGCGGATCTGTGCAGGGGCAGGGCAGGGCGAGAGGCATGGTGCATGACACAGCTTTAAAGGGCGGTGCATCGAAGGTATTCTGCCGCTGCCTGCTGCCGGCCGCCCGGCCGCCTCCCCCCCGGCTCACCAGCTGCGCCGGTGGCGGATCGGCCGCACTGCATGCCACCCTGCCGACCCATAGACCGCGGCTGGAGGTGAAGGCGTCGCGGGGGGCAGGCACGACGGAGAGGCGGAGCACGGTGCTCACCACCCGGCCCGCGGGGAGCCAGCCCTGCAGGCAGGAAACGTGCATGGTGCTGCACAGGCTGATGGCGCTTGTTGAATGCCCCGGGGCGAGCGACAAGCCGCACATGTACCTCTGCCGCCGCCAGTACGCCTCAAACTCGGAGCGAACCAGGGGGCGCGCTGGACCCCAGCCGCCTTCCTCTGTCTCGTCTTACGCCCATGCGACGGGCTGCCGTCCTGTCAGCAGCTGCCTGAAGCTGCGGGTGCGACAGACACCCTGCAGGAGAGGCTGCGCGAGGCTCAGCAGCAATGGCCAGCACGGAAAACATAAGGCACGTCCCTGGAGCAGCGCCCTGCGCCCTGCGCGGCTGCCGCCGGTGCAGCTTGCCTCACCTGTCGCCGCCTGCCGCCGCCTGCGCTCCCGGTGACGCCGCCCTCAGTTTGGCGGCGTCAAACACCCACTGCTAAGCCTCGATGCCACTCTCAAACCCAACCGCCTTCGCCCACCCCTTGCACCGCCGCAGCGTGTATGTGCGCGTGCGCCCGCTCAACGATGCAGAGCGGGAGCGCGGCGCGGCGTGGCGCGTCGAGGGCAACGGGGTGTACCAGGTGCGCCAGTGCCAGGGAGCACTGCCCTGCCAGGCAGACCAAATCCAGGCCATTTGCACCGTCCCCAAACCCATGCGCACGCACATCCCTGCAAGATCACCCTCGGCTCGCCTCCCCACTGCACGTATGCGCGGCCACCGCCCTTCATTCCCGCACTTTCTTCCCTCGCCCCGCCGCCAGGTGGACCCCGCCAGCGAGGCGCGCGTCTCCGACAATGCCTACAAGCTGGACGCCATCTTCGACGGCTCCCAGCCCACCGCTGCCGTGTACGAGGCCACCACGCAGGGCCTGATCCGCCAGGTTGGTGCTGCCATTGTGCTGCATGGTGCTGCCTGTGTGCCGCGCCTGGTGCCAGACGAGCAGGCGCAGGCTCGAAAGGCCTGCTGACCTCCACCTCCACCTACCCTCTCTGGCCACCATGTTGCACCACCATCACCGCTTGCCCCGAAACACCACCACCACCTCTTCTTCCCTCCTTCCCTACACCACATCTCCTCCCCCCCTTCCTCCCCCCCAGGTGGTCAACGGCTTCAACTCCACAGTGTTTGCCTACGGCCAGACCAGCTCCGGCAAGACGCACACGATGAAGGGCACGGGGGACGACCCGGGCATCATCCCGCTGGCGGTGCGCGAGATCTTCCAGCTCATCGGCGCCTGCCAGGACCGCGAGTTCCTGCTGCGGGTATCCTACATGGAGGTGAGGGTGTGAGGTTTTTTAGGTGGGGTGGGGGGAGGTAGCGGGGAGCAGTAGTGGCGGAGCGGGGCAGCTGGGAGCGAGGAAAAAATAGGGGGAGGGCACTTGATGATGCCGCCACCGCCCGAATTTGCCGCCTCTCACGCTCCGGTACCGCCGTGTCACGCACCCGGTACCTGTACCGCAGCTGTACAACGAGGACATCAACGACCTGCTGGCCCCAGACAACCAGAAGCTGGCGGTGCACGAGACCAAGGAGGCTGGGGTGCACGTGGCAGGCCTGCGGGAGGACATTGTCAGCAGCCCCGAGCAGGTGCAGGCGGGGGCGCGGGGCTGGGGGACTTGCAGGCTTCGTGGGCTGGGCCTGGTTGGGTGCGGACGGGGGAGCGGCAGGTGCTGGCTGTGCCCTGTGGGCGGCAGCAGGAGGCGGGCGCCGGTGTGTGCTTGCTGGCATGCTGAGCCCCCTTGGTTGCTGCAACGCCGCGCCACGATGCCTCAGCCTGCCGCAAGCCTGCCCCGCAACCCGCCTCGCCCTCCTGCTGCTGCCACCCAACCCCGCTGCCTGCCCCCGCCCTGCCCGCCGCCCCCGCCAGGTGCTGGAGCTGCTGGAGTGCGGCGAGCGGCACCGCCACACGGGTGAGACGCGCATGAACAAGTCGTCCTCCCGCTCACACACCGTCTTCCGCATGGTGGTGGAGTCGCGCAGCCGGGACGCCAACCCCGACGACGCGCATG